ATGTGCAAGAGCTTCACGGGTTGAGGGCGGGTGGTTTTCAACATGTGGTTCACGCCTTAGCGCCACGCACACTCGTTTTGAAAATTGCAAGAGCTTCACTGATTGGGGGCGGCTCTTGTTCAAAACGTGGTTCTGCTTCGGCGACACGCACATTCATGAATAAAACTTACAAGGGTTTCACGGATTCCCATGAACAGCGCACCAGAAGTTGCATGCTGGAAGGACTCAGGATTACGAGGGCGCAACGTTACGCTGATTCGCGGCGTTGGAGTCCCAGGAATGGCGTTCTGGCACGTCAGGACCGTCAAGACGCAACAACCAGGTTGATCCGTGGCGTTGGGATCCCGAGAACAATATGCTGGCATGCTTCAGGGGTAGGTGCCTGTGAAAAAAAGGAGCTTGGAGGAAGGGTTGATTGCAACATCGTTGATGACTCTTGGGATTACACTGGTCCTCCTCCTCCTCATCCCCCTCCTCCTCGTCCTCCTCGTCCTCCTCCTCCTCCTCATACCCATAATGTTTCCCTGTCGCACCTCGAGGCAAGTTTTTGTTGGCGGGTCGGGCGTTTCGCCTAAGACTTCTTGACCATGCGTGGCCCTGAAGCTTAAAATTTGGCGACCAGTTATAGATGGAGGGCGGGTCGTTTCCAAAATGCGGTTCTCGCCTTAGCGCCGCGCACATTCGTTTTAAATATTGGCAAGAGCTTCACGGATTGAGGGGGACTGGATTTCAAATTGTGGTTGTCGCCTTAGTGCCGCGCACATTCGTTTATAATTATCTTGGCGAAGGGCCCAACCATACAAAGGTGTGAATAGCGCAGCTGTGAGAGCCGTATTCGGTGGAGCTCCGCATGGGGCCACGAAACGTGTGAGTGATGTGCCAAAACGAGGATGACGCCCACATGTGAGTATTGCCATTGGGGCCTTAGGTGGAGCCCCCATAAGGAGCCACGAAACGCGTCGAAGGTGTGCCGAAACGCTGGTGACGCCCACGTCTGAGCATTGCCATTGGCGCCTTCGGTGGTGGAGCTCCCTGTAGGGGGGCACGAAGCGTGTGATGGGTGTACCGAAACGGGGGTGACGCACACATGCGAACTGCACGAGCGGGGCCGTTAGGTGGAGCTCCTTATGGGGCAGCGAAACGTGTGAGGGGTGCGCCGAAACGGGGGGCGACACCCACACGCGAACTGTGCGGCATCAGGTGGAGCTCCCTATGGGGGCACGGAACGTGTGAGGGGTGTGCCAAAATGGGGCGGCGCCGCCATGCGAACTTTGCCACTGGGGCATTCGGTGGGGCTCCCTATGGGGCCACGAAACGTGTGAGGGGTGTGCCAGAATGCGGCGGCGCCGCCATGCGAACTGCGCCATTGGGACATTAGGTGGATCTCCCAAAACCTGATAGGGCCACGAAACGTGTGACGTGTGTGCCGAAACGAGGCGACACCCACACGCGAATTGTGCGGCATCAGGTGGAGCTCCCACTGGGGGCACGGAACGTGTGAGGGGTGTGCCAAAATGGGGCGGCGCCGCTATGCGAGCCATGCCATTGGGGTATTCGTTGGAGCCCCCTTATGAGGCCACAAAGCGTGTGAGGGTGTGCCAAAATGTGGCGGCGCCGCCATGCGAGCTGCGCCAATGGGACATTAGGTGGTAGCCCAAAACCCTATAGGGCCACGAAACGTGCGAGTGGTGTGCCAAAACATGGCGGCAGGGCCATGCGGACTGCGCTATTTGGACCTTAGGTGGAGCTCCCTATGGGGCCACAAAACGTGCGAGGGGTGTGCCAAAATGGGGCGGCTGCGCCATGTGAGTTCCGCCATTGAGACCTCAGGTGGGGCCCCTTTTATGAGGCCACGAACCGTGTGCGAGGTGTGCCGAAATGGGGCGGCGGCGCCATGCGGACTGCGCCACTGGGACCTTAGGTGCTGCTCCCTTTGCGGCCACCAAACGCGTGAGGGGTGTGCCAAAATATGGCGGCAGGGCCATGCGGATTGCGCCATGGAGACCTCCAGTGGAACGCCCGATGGGGCCACGAAACATGTGGAGCTGTGTGCCAAAATGGAGCGGCGGCGCCATGCGAGCTGCGCCATTGGGACCTGATGAGGAGCTCCCTATGGGGCCACGAAGCATGTGAGGGGTGTGCCAAAAATGGTGCGGCGGCGCCATGCGAGCTGCCCCACTATGACGTTAGGTGGACGACACGTGTGAGGGGTGTGCCAAAATGGGGCTGCGGCATCATGCGAGCTGCGCCACTGGGACCTTGGTTGGAGCTCCCTATGGGGGGGCCACGAAACGTGTGAGGGGTGTCCCAGAATGGGGCGGCGCCGCCATGCGAACTGCGCCATTGGGACCTTTCTCTATGGTGCCACGAAACGTGTGAGGGGCGTGCCAAAAATGAGGCGGCGGTGCCAAGCGAGCTGCGCCACTGATACCTGATGATGAGCTCCCTATGGAGACACGAAACGTGTGACGGGTGTGCCAAAATGGGGCGGCAGCGTCATGCGAGCTGCGCCACTGGGACCTTAGGTGGAGCTCCTTACAGCGCCACGAAACGTGCAAGGGGTGTGCCAAAAAGGAGGCGGCGGCGACATGCGAGCTGCGGCACTGTGACCTTAGGTGGAGCTCCTTATGGGGCCACGTAGCGTATGAGGGGTGCCCCAAAATGGGGCGGCGGCGGCATGCGAGCTGCGCCACTGGGACCTCAGGGGGAGTTCCCGATGGGGCCACGAAACGTGTGAGGGGTGTGCCAAAATGGGGCGGCGGCGCCATGCGAGCTGCGCCACAGGGACCTCACGTGGAGCTCCCGATGTGGCCACGAAACGTGTGAGGGGTGTGCCAACATGAGGCTGCAGCATCATGTGAGCTGCGCCACGGGGACCTTAGCTGGAGTTCGTTACGTGTGAGGGGTGTGCCAAAAATTGGGCGGCCGCGCCACGCGAGCTGCGCCACTGGGACTTTAGGAGGAGTTCCCTATGGGATCACGAAACGTGTGAGGGGTGTGCTGAAACAGAGACATGCGGAGAGCCAAAGCAAGGAGGGGGAAGAGGGAGGAGGAGGGAGGAGGAGGAGACGCAAGGCGAGGACCCAACACCACACGACCGTTGGGAAAAATGCGCGAGCTTCACAGATTGAGGGCAGGTCGTTTTCAAAATGCGGCTCTCGCTTTTCAGCGCCGCGTATATTCTTTTATAAATCTGCAAGAGTTTCACTGATTGAGAGGGCGGATCCTTTTCAAAATGTGGCTCTCGCTTCAGCGCCGCGCACATTCGTTTATAACAGTTGCAAGGGTTTCACGGGTTCCCATGATCAACTAACCAGAAATTGCGTTTTGGAAGGACTCCAGATTACGAGAGTGCAACAGTTACGTTGGTTCGCGGAGTTGAAGTCCCAGGAATGGCGTTCTGGTACGACTCAGGTTCGTCAACACGCAACAATCAGGTTGATCCGTGGCGTTGGGATCCCGAGAACAATGCTTTGGCATGCATCAGGATCTTCAAACGGTCGTCTTCTGGCGAGGCGGTCCCCTCCGTGGATATGAACCGTTGTAGGCGCCTATGAAGAGGGAGTTTGGAGGGATGGTTTTTGTTCCAACATCGTTGGTGACCCTTGGCTTTCCACTGGTCCTCCTTCTCCTCGTCCTCTTCCTCCTCATCGTCCTCCTGCTCCTCCTCCTCATCCTCCTCCCCCTCTTCCCCCAAGCCTTCGTGGCTATGTGCGGGGGAATGTCGAAGGTGATGACGGTGGGGGCGGGGTTTTTCTGATCGGATCTGTGGGTGTCCATACCGAGTTTGGCGGCGATGCGGTCTGTATCGGCGAACATGTAGGTGACATTGCACCCCTAATATCCATACATCCTCCTAATGGGCTCTGCGTGTGGAGCATCTGCAGCATGACTGGCTTCGTATGGGCTTCGACCTGCTGCTGGACTAAATATTCCACCCCTCCCGAGCCCGAAGCCGCACGTGATGGAGTCGTGGGTGTCGATACGCCTGGAAACGATTCGCTGCCCTACGTCGTTGCATTTTTTCGAATTCCGCCATCATATCGTATTCGATCTTGTTCGCGTCGGTCATGTTCCGAAACGTTAGTATGTCAATCCGTCTTGCAATCGTTCTTGCTCGAGGTTTCCTGTCTGGACTTCAACTGCTTCGTTGGCATTGTCTATTATGATCATCGTCCGAGCACTTCTTGTCTCCGTCCACACACTCTGCTGCTCCAAGGATTTTCCTGAGAGGAGCGCGCGACGTAGGACTGCGGTCTGACTTGTGATGTCTTGAACCCGAAACTCCATGGCACAGGCGATTTGGCGGTCTTGCATCGTTGCTGAATGAGGTTGAATTTGGCTATGTTCTCCTTGTAGTGTGCCCTCTTCTTGGTCTCGCTGGCCCCCGCGGATATCAGCTTGTAGTCTGGAAGATTATGTTGGACATGTTGGCTACTGGTGTCCTCTGTCTCCTCCCAGGGGACGGCTTCTTTAGTTTTTGCTCTGGGACCTGGACTTCGACTTGCGATTGTATGGTCTCGTTGCCGTCCCTGTTGGTGAAGTACAATGTGTGTGTTACACTTCGTGCAGTAGACTATCTTCTCCCCGTTCTGTTGGCCGCATTTGTATTGTCATGGCGTCATCTGGTGTGGCACCCGAAAGAAAGAGCACCAACACAGGAGCTTAAATGGTTCGAGATGTGCTCGCCCGCAGCAGCCACCTGTCGGCTGCGGCGGGCAAAGTAAGGGAATTCCTCAAAACTCGATCATGGTGAATGCGGCGGTGGTACTAGGCGCGGGCCCCTTTGAACCTTGCCTCGCGGTGGGGGTTCGGAGTCCCACAGACGGCGATACCTTGAGCTCCTCCGCCGCATCTCCTCTCCTCTCTTCTCCCTCCTCCTCATCCCCTCTTTTTCTCACTCAACTGCTCTGGCTAAGATTGCCACGACTAGTAGGACGGCAGCCACCACCGCCACCTCTGTCCGCTGTGCTACCCCCTCGGTGCCTCTTCGCCTGTCGGCTCAAGCGACCCCTGCCTTCCGTATGCCTTCCTGCACGTGTCCATAAGTCGGGCAGCCAGTGTTGCTGCGTCGAGGCCTTCCCTCACGCCTGAGCCATGGCGCGCGGGGTGCGCTGCGTGCCCGCAGCCCTCTGGTCGGTGGCGGCTGCGCTCTCGTGTGCCCCGGGCTGCGCCGCGCTGAGCGCCGCGGTGGTGCCGGAGGCCGGGGCGCCCTCGGGGGCGCTCGCGATGCACGCTGCGACCAAGACCGTGTCGGCGCTCGTCTTCGACCCCAGCGAGTGCAAGGTTCAGTATCGTTTAACCTACCCCCATCCCCATTGGGCCATGGTGTCTCAGCCCCACCATTGCACCACCCCAGTTGGCGACAGGCCCCTCGATGCCCGAAAGGAGCAGCTTATGTACCCATCTTGGCGTGTCGACCAATGGGGCGCAGGCCACGCCAGCTGGGCTAGGGATCGGCCAGTGGGAACAGAGAGCGGGGATCGACCAGAGGGGCCCAGGCCACACCAGTGGGGACAGAGGTCGGTTAAGCAATGCTCGAAGGTGTGCGCTTTCAACGGCCCCGCCGCGCCGCGCCTGTTCATCGACGGGAGGGACGACGGCCTCGGCAACAACGTCGAGGCCATCATCTACGGCATGGCCTTCGCGAGGAAGACTGGCATGAGCTTCGGGGGCGTGGTCGGCGGCGGCAAGATGGCCCACGGGCTGCAGGTCGCCAAGATCGTGGCAGACATCTTCGGCCTGAACAAGGACCACCTGTACCTGCGGAGCATGCCCATGAGCAGCCAGGTGGTCCAGGTCAAGCACCTCACGGACATCGAGAAACTGCGGCTGGACAAGAACACGAACGACGTGTGGCTGCAGACCAACATGCCCCAGAGCGGCGTGAAGGCCCCGCGCACGATCGACGAGTTCCTGGACGACGAGTTTCTGGAGGCGCTCCGGGCGCAGGTCCTGCCGCAGCTGGTCGAGCAGCACCCCCTCTCAGAGATCCGCCGTGGGAACGGCCCCGTGGTGGCCATGCACGTGCGGCGCGGCGACGTGTCGGCGACGAACAGGGGAGGATGGAGGGAAGCCCCTTCCTCTTCTCTTCTTGCCCCTCCTCCTGCTCCTCCTCCTCCTCCACCTTCTCCTCCTCGTCTCCTACGGTCTTCTCCTCCTCTGCCTCCTCCGCCTCCGCCTCCTCGGCGACGAACAGCAACAAGAACCGCTACACTAAGAATGAGTTCTACTACGACCTGGCGGCCCGCATCCGCGCAGAGCTGCCCGGGGCGGACGTGCACGTGTGGAGCGAGACAGCCGGCAGCACGCCCGAGGACATCGACGGTTTCCGCAGCCGGAACATAACCCTCCACCTGGACACGGACATCGTCGAGACCTGGTCGCACATGGCGCAGGCGCAGGTGCTCGTGATGGCGAAGAGCAGCTTCAGCTTCATTTCGGCAATCTGGGAGAGCGGAAGCCGGCATCAGCCAAAATCTTTCGGAGGTCCGTATGGATCCTCTCGGGTCGGCGAGGGAACCCATCTCCACACCTCTTCCTTGGCGCGCGGAGCGCGTCAAACGCGCCGTCCAACGGTGTGGGAAGGTGGGTCCAGCGCCGACCCGAGAGAAATCCATGCGGACCTCGCAAAGTGCTTACGGAGGGGTTCACGCTTCGTCGACGCATCGGCGACTCCAGCGCAGGCGTTCAAGGTTGAACGCGGCTAGTGGCCCAGAATCGGCCGACATCGGACCATAATTGTGTGCAATCGAAGAGCCGCGATCGCTCAAGGCGTCAGACTCCAACTCGCAGGTCATCGTGACAGAAAACATCCGTATACCGGTTTCTTGTTCTCCTGCCATCCTGAACCGCGGCTGCGTCGTGTACCAGCCCTGGCTGACCAGGCCCCTCGCTGGCTTCACGAAGACGTCGCCGCAGGACGGCGGCTTGCGGGGGTGTTCTCGTGGTGGGTGGGAGAAACGCCAGCAACAACAACCATCAGTTTGAGGTTGCTTGCTCTGCATTGCTTGCGTGCCTTTCACTTTGCATGCACCAAACCCCCGACTCCCGCCCTCTTCGTTTACGAGCGTCCCCCCTCAGGGTGTTTCTGTTCCATGCCAGATCTTGGGCAAGCCCCGACACATAAAACCCCAACGACCGAGTCTGGCAGGCGGACTCGGACGGGCGGGGCGGGCGGGCGGGGCGTCAGAGCGGGCGCGCGGGCTCTCAGGCAGGGGGACGGGCGGACCCTGCCAGGCGGGTCAAGCGGGCGGACGCTGCCAGGCGTGCGGGCCCTTGTCGGGCGGGTGGGGCGGTCGGACCTGGTCGGTCGGGTGGGGCGGGCGGGAGCGGTTCCAGGTCTTTCTCAGGCCCGGGCGCCTGTCCGCAGTGGCGGTTGGCTCGTGCAAGAAGTCTCCGGAGAGAGCGCGAGTCCTGAGTACATTCGAAGGAAGCTCTAAGCGAAAACGCGATTCCAGAGCGGCATGAGCATGAATCTCCAAAAGATAGGTTCCAGGCGAGCGGTCCTGGCGTACAACACAATGAAGTCTCAAGCGAGAATGATGAGAAAGTCTCACGCGGGGGCCGTTGTTGTTGTAGCCGCCCAGGGCCACTGTTTGGCACCGAAAACGATCCTGTGAGAGAGCTGACAGGCGCATTTCAATTAGAAACGTGATGGGCCCCGGTGTGGGCACTCAAGAAAAAGTAGTCTTCAGAAGTTCAGGAAAATATGTAAAACACAGCCTGGCGAATAATCTAACCCGATCTAAACGAAACGCAACTATAAACAGGACGGCTCAAAGCACAAGAACACGTAGAAGGATCTTCCATATCCGCGACAACTTCGCCAAACACGGTCAGACCGCGCACACAGTCCCCCATTCGGGCATGCACTCTCACACATCGATTCGCCATGGGGGCCACAGGGGGAGCTCCCTGAGAGGCAGGAAACGTTTGAGGAGTGTGCCGAAATTGGCGCGGGGGCGACATGTGGACACATTCGCTGGGACCATGCAGTGGAGCCCCCATGGGGGGCAGGAAACGCGTGAGGGGTGTGCCGAAGTGGGCGCGAGGGCGCCATACGGACACACCCCCGCTGAGGCCACAGGTGGGGCTCCCTGGGGCGCATGAAACGTGCGAGGGACGTGCCGAAATGGGTCCAGGGACGCCATGTGGACACCTCCACTGGGGCCCTGGGTCGAAATCCGGGGAGCGGGAAACGCTCGAGGGGTGTGCCGACATGGGCGCGGGGACGCCATGTGGACGCACCCGCTGGAGCCGTAGGTGGAGCCCACTGGGGGCTGGGGGGGGGCAGGAAACGCGTGAGGGTGTGCCGAAGTTGGCGCGGGGATGCCATGTGGACACGCCCGCTGTGGTCATAGTTGGAGCCCCCTGGTGGGCATGAAACGTATGAGGGAAGAGGATACGTAATGAGGAGGAAGAGGAGGGAGAGGAGAAATAAGGACGACGAGAGGAGGAGGAGGAGGAGGAGGAGAAGGAGAAGGAGCAGGAGAGGAAGGTAGGAGGAGGGAAGGAGGAGTCGCGCGGTGCTGTGGATTCGCACCACCACCACCACCACCACCACCACCAACAACAACAACAACAGCAGCAGCAAGAATACGAATGTTAAGATAGCTCGCTTTTACCTGCTCACGTGCCCTTCAACACGCATATTCCAAACCCTCGGTACCCGCCGTCTTCGTCTTCGATCGCACCCCCCTGGGGGCCCCCTGTTGCTATGTCTTCCTTACCTGCCGCGCGTAATCGGTGCATCCCCTGAAGCAGGGGAAGAGAGGACGGATGGAAGGGGGAGGGAGAATGATGGAGCACGGGATTGGCAGGAGGGGGGCTAGGAGCAGAAAACACGTGGCAGAACCAGACAGACCCATCGGGCGGGTAGACCTTGACGGGCGGGTCGGGAAGGCAGGTCCAATCAGCCAGGTCGAGAAGGCGTGTTTCTGAAGCGTGATTATTGCATACATCGCGAGAAGGGCTCGAGCGATAGCGCGATTCCCGAGTAAATCGTGAGAAAGGCCAAAGCGAGAGCGTGATTCCTGAGTGTCGAGGGCGCGGCGTCTGAATAAATTGTTGCGGGGACCAGGGGGCCAGCTTGACCTCCAAGATTTACCATGATAACAAACAGGGTGCGAGCCCGGGGAGGGGCATTTCAAGTAGAAAAAGGATGTGCGCCGGAGGGGGATCAACAATAGTTAAATATGTGTTCAGAAGTAAGACAACGACAACAGCGAGAATAATAATTCTAAAATTGTTCGCCCTTATATGCTCGAGTGTCCAATAACGCGTATTTCCCAAAGCCTCGATACCCGCCCTCTTCGTCTTCGATCGAACCCCTTTTGGGGGGTATACCTTTCTTCCCTGCAGGCCGGGCCCCGGCAAGCGGCGGGGCGGCCGCGGACCGTCGGCCTGGCCAGCGGCAGCGCTGATCGGCGGGGCGGCCGCGGACCGTCGACCCGACCCCAAGAGGGACGGACAGGGGACCGACCACGAACGACGACGACGACGACGACGTCGAAGACGACGGCGACGACGACGACGACGACGGCGACGACGAGCGAAAGCGAGAACGAGAGAGAACGACAGCAGGGCCACGAAGGGCACGAAGTAGGCCACGAAGGGCGACAGCGGGGACACGAAGGGAATGCGTATGGGGCCACGAAGAGCGCGAACGAGCGGGGGCCACGAAGTGCAGATAATGCAGGGCCACAGAAGGCAACTATGGGGCCACTGAGGGTAGCAACTGGGCCACGTAGGACAATGAGGGGGGCACAAATGGCGACAGCGGGGCCACGAAGGGCATGCACATGGGGCCACAACGGGCGCGACTCCTGGGTGCCTGGGTGTCGGGAGCGCGGCGCTTGGGCAAAGTGCCGGAAATTCTAACGCAAGGCCATTCTTCAATAAGTTGCAAGCAAGTCTCCAGCGAGAGCGCGACTCCAGAGCGCCGGGAGAGCGATTCCTTAGTTAATTGCAAGGAAATCCCAAGCGAGAGCGCGATTCCTGAATAAAATGAGAGGAAGTCTCGGGCGGGAGCGGGGGTCCTGCCTAAATTGTAAGGAAGTCTCTGGCGGGAGCCGTTGTTGTTGTAACCCGGGGGCCAGGGGCCCAGTTTGAGCAGGAAGACTTTCCTTGTCAAAAACCCGGGTGCGAGCGTCGAGGGACACACTTTGATTGATAAAAACCGTATGCACTGGTGGGGGGGATCAACAATTATTATTCTTCAGAAGAAAGAATTCAACAACAACAACAACAACAACAACAATCATTTTACCCGAACGCTCAGTGTTCTCACCAGTGCCAGGGTTTTCATGCGACGCGAGACAATACCCCCACTTCGTGGGGGGGCAGTTCAAGCTCTACCAAATATCCAAACGACTCTTCGCGACCACCCAAACCCAGCTTCCCGCCCTATGACGTTGGGACACTTCACTTCGTGGCGTGCGGACGACCGTGGCTACTACACTGGCGTGGGGTACACACCCACAGAACTTGGTCACTTATTCGGGGCGCGCGTGTGCCCAGCATCCTGCAATTGTGACATACAATACATGACACAGACAGACAGAGAGAGAGACAGAGAGCAGACAGAGAGAGAGACAGAGAGAGCGGAGTTGGTCACATTTTTGGGGCAAGTTCCTGAGATCGTCGTGTTTTTTGTTGGTCTTGCGCGCGCGAATGTCCACTTTACTTTTTTTTGCAAGGGAGTATTGAAATTTGATTATGTTAGAACAAGAAAAAGTAGCTCGCGCGAGCTCATGTAACATAAATGTTGAAAAACCATTGGTTTTGTGGGAGTCGGACAGCGCGCGCGGGATGAAATTTGGACATTTTTTTTTGAAAAACCATTGGGTTTTTGATGTTTTTATGTTGAAATCGTTACGAAACCTAAGGTTCTGGAAGGATTTCGTCTTGCGCGCGCGAATGTCCACTTTACCTTATTTTTTGCAAGGGATTATTGAAATTTGATTATGTTAGAACAAGAAAAAGTAGCTCGCGCGAGCTCATGTAACATAAATGTTGAAAAACCATTGGTTTTGTGGGATTCGGACAGCGCGCGCGGAAGGACATTTTGACAATTTTTTCTTAAAAAACCATTGGGTTTTTGATGTTTTTATGTTAAAATCGTTACGAAACCTAAGGTTTTGGAAGGATTTCGTCTTGCGCGCACGAATGTCCACTTTACCTTATTTTTTGCAAGGGATTCTTGCAATTTGATCAAGTAAGAACAAGAA